AGAGACTCTTGAATGCTGACAAAAACTGAGGACTGATGGATGTGGGAGGGAGGGGGGGATGGGCATGGAGGAGGGCACTTTGGGGATGAGCACTGAGTGTTATGTGGAAACTAATTTGACAATAAACTATTTGTAAAAAAAATAAAAATAAATGCATCTACTAATGAAAATGAACTTTTCTCAATAAGGTGAACAAAGAAATAGCAATAAATTTATACTTCCCATTTCTTATAAATTGATTTTAGCCATGGCTGCATTAAAAATAATTCACCAGATGTGACATATTTGTTGATTTAGTTAGATAGCTAACATGGCCTTAAAAAATAAAAATGACTTTCATATATTACATCACCAAAGAGAAGTCATAGACAGCAAAATATTATCTTGCCAACTTAAAGAAACAAGGAAACTATAAGGAATTATTTAAAGCTTCATAAACTACCACAGAATGTGCAACAGTGAATAAGATAGGCATTTATCTTTCATTCCCTTTAAATTTCCATTACATTGTGCCTCAGCTTGCCATAAGTGTAATGTCAGTAACAAAAATTAATACAGAATAACTGAACTTAGTCTTAAACCTAGCACAGAAGTATCATCCCCTTTAGGCCAACAGGCCTAAAAACACTTAGGTCTATTGGAGTGATAAAACTTACCATTCTACTTTAAAACACTTTGTAGCTAATATAGTTATTCATATGTTCCTTTTTACCTATATTGGCAAAAAAATTAATACTTTGGTAATTTTCATGGCATTGGATTGGCCAACAGATTCTTAGATATGCACCCAAAACACAAACAACAACAAAATCAAATAAACTGGACTTCATCAAAATTGAAAACTTATGTGTTTCAAAGGACACTATAAAGAAAGTACAAAGGTAACCTACAGAATGGAAGAAAATATTTGCAAATCATTTCTGATAAGGGTTTCATATCTAGAATAAAAAGAACCTTTAAAAATCAATGACAACATCAAAAAATCCAAGTAAAACAGGGTAAAGGACTTGAATAGACATTCCTTCAAAGATATATAAATGGGCAATAAGCACATGAAAGACACAGGAATTTGAACAAATGTTTGCACACCTATGATTATCCCAACATTAATCCTAATACCACAGGGTGGAAGTAACTCAGGGGTCCAACAACGGATGAATGGATAAATAAAATACATGTATGCATATACTAGAATATCATTAGGCCTTAAAAAGAAAGGACATTCTGACACATGCTACAACATGAAATGCTGTATAATGCCAGATATTTCAAACTATCTAAAGTACTCATATTTATGGTGACAGAAAGGAAAATGGTAGTTGCCAAGAGCTGGGGTGAGGGTAATGGAGAATTATTATTTACTAATTATAGAGTTTACATTTTGCAAGATGAAAAAAGTTCTGGAGTTGGATGGTAATGATAATTTTACAAAAATATAAAGGTACTTAATGCCTTTGTGCTATAAACATAAAAACGGTAAAATGGTAAATTTTGTTTGTATATTTTACCACAATTTAAAAAATAAATTGTTCTAAAATGGGCAAAGGACTTGAACAGACATTTTCCAAAGAAAATCTACAATGACTATCAACCACATAGAAAGATAGTTAACACAACTACTCATTAAGGAAATGCAAATCAAAACCACAATGGGATATCATTTCATACCCACTAGGATGATTAATATTTTTCAAAATATGGGAAATAACAAGTGTTGGCAAGGATGTGGAAAGCAACTGGAATCTTCTACATTTCTGGTGAAAATGTAGAATGAAGTGGACACTGTGGAAAACAACTTGAACAATTTGCCACTTCTACAAAAAGTTAACCATAGAATTCCCACATGACCCCACAATTCCTCTCCTAGTTTATAAACAAAAGAACTGAAAACCAGTATTCAACATAGACTTCAGTAAGGTTCGCAGCGGTATTATTCACAACATGCAAGCGGTGTTATAACTTTTATCTAGGCCATACCTAGACCCAGCCCCCTATTTAGAGAGTCTTTATCTTTTCCCAGACAACAATGGAGGCTTTTCTGTGGGTGCTCTATGGGCAATCTCCATTAGAAATAATGGATTAAAAATGTAAGGGACAAGGACCAATCTAGATATAAAAAAAGAATTACTATAAAATTGTAATTTAAAAGGAAATTTTTAATAGAAAACTGAAAAACTCTCTGCATGGTAAGAGGAAAAAGGAGCAGGATAGAGATGAAGATGGAGAAAAGTAGAGTTGAGTAAACAAAAACATGTGATGAGGATAGCACTTAAATGCTCTTTTAATATGCTTCAATTCCTATTACATGGCCTCTATTACATATGCTCTCATTGATCTTTATTATCTGCCTTTTACCTCTGAGATAAAGGAGGCGCTGAGAGGTTAAGTGGCCATGGCCAGACATGTAACCAGTGGCAGAGCAGGATTTCGGGCCAGGGCTGATTGCAAACACAAAAACTGCCTTACCTGATGTAAGGAATACACAAAAACTTTAATTATTTCTTATTTCTAAAGTCAAAAAATAATTCACTATTATTAAAAAAAAACAATAATAATTGTTTATTAGGGTGCCTGGGTGACTCAGTTGGTTAAGTATCCAACTTCAGCTCAGGTCATGATCTTGTGGTTCTTGAGTTCGAACCCCACACTGGGCTCCGTGCTGAAAGCTCAGAGCCTGGAGCCTGCTTCAGTTTCTGTGTCTCCCTCTCTGCCCATCCTGTGCTCCCCTCTCAAAGCTAAATAAATATTTTAAAAAAATAAAAATAGAAATCAATCAGCAGTGATTATTTTTGAACAGTGAGATTATAGGTGATTTTAAATTTATCTGCATTTGCTGAATTTCCTATAATAAGCATGTATTCATTCTGAAATAAGATAAAGACTTTTTAAAGTAAGTATATTACAAAATTTTTATAGTTCACATCATCCCTAATGAATAAAAACTACTTTCCAAAAATACTTAAACTTAATGGAAAAAATTGTCTTTAATAAAATGTATTTTCAACAAGAGGTTTGTCTTTCTCAACTTTCATTTCTGTAGTAAAAATACACTGAAGTAAACAAGACAATACTTACCTGTGCACTGTCCTCCATTAGTTGGATCTCCATAATAACCTGGCATGCAGTCTTGACACTGCTTTCCTGTGGTAAGATTTTTACACTGTTCACACACGTTATTATTGATGCAAGTGCTATGTCCATTACACTGGCAAGCTAAAAAAAAAAAGTAAAAAATATTACAAATACCTACATAACAATAGCAAGTAGCTGTCAAAATAAAGAATTTATTTTACGAAGTTGAATGATAGCAAATTCCAAAGGACATTTCCCAAGTTTTATTTTTATTATGTATAACATATATGGCTCAAAATATTAAAGCAGGACAATATATATAATAAATTCTGTGTTAAAATGTTGTCTAATGCTCTATAAAATGTAGGCATAAGAGATAAAGTGAAACATAAAAGTTACAGCTAAAAAGAATACTTTTTAATATATTCCTTAAAGATTCATGTGAATATTAAGTTATATAAAACAAGACTGAATAATATGGCTTTGGTAAAGAATACTAAAATGCATCTTAATTATATTTACATATAATAACAAAGGAATTTTCAGAGGCATAGCTCTACTATATAACACAGTATAGAAATAACACAAAGTTATCATGGGAAAATGCTACATAATCAGCATCCTCTTCATAAAATTCAGGAAAAGCATAAGTTTTCACATTTTCTATTACATTAGGAAAAATGACAAGGAAATTTAGAAAGAGGTGTTCATGATAATTTAAGTAAAATCAAGACACAAAACATTATATTTAGAATCCTCAAAATTTTGTCTTAAGATGTATAAATATGCCTATGGAAAAGTTAATGGTTATCTTAACTTAATAAGATTTTTCTGTATCATCAATTTTCTATAAAAATTCCTATTACTTCTATAAGAAATAATGTTAAGAATTTAATTTTTTAACATTTGTTTAAAAGTGTAAGTTGTTTCATAGAAAATTTATTATGTGACACTACCAATTAATTCACTCAGGTAAAAACAACATTTATTGAGTGCCTACTGTATGTAAAGCATTATCTGAAAAAGTTAAAATAAGAAATAAGCTACTGTAAATATTTTATGAATCTTCTGACTGCATTTTTCTAATCAGAAAAAGAAGTGCTTTAATTTCTGAATAAGATGTTTAAATTCAGCAATCACATCTAACATCCTCCCTCAGATTACCACTAATATAATAAGGAAACTTGACAGCAATGACAGGAATTTGGGCTTGGTGACAATGACACAAATAAAGCTAGGAAGCAGCAAACTACAATACCTCTGGAAATTAAAAGGGGACCCCTGGTGTAATGTTACTCACTGTCCCTTCCTGAAAATGAGAAGATCAGAAGGCAGTTCTGGGGCAATCATGAAGCATATTAATGGCATGATGCCATACAGCTGGTAGAAAGTGTGACACCAGGAAATCTAATGTTTTAGGTAATGAATACACTCCAACAGAAAGCTGGTTCAATTTAGACCTAACTGCAGGCAAAATTTCCCATGCACGGCCAGGGAAGGAGGGTAAGGGTGGGCAGGGAAGGAATGGTCATTGTTATACCTTCTACTAGCACAGTAGCAATGGCAAAAGAGAAAGCATGTTACAGAAAGTGAAATCCAGGCACAATGGCTGTATCAAACACAGACAAGAAAAGGATACACAATAAGCCTATGATTATGTTTTATTCCCACTAGCATCAGGGTGCTGGAACAGGGAGTAATAGAAGCTTGCATCTAACAGTTCTTCCAGGATACATTGTTACTTGAAAGGTTCTAATAACAACCTGGTTGTGGAACATGAATAAAACTCAAGAGAAGCTATCCATACTGTTTTGTCTAAATTTTAAAACAAGCCCAGATGGTTCTTTATCTATTGATACACAAACGGGCAAAAAAAAAAAGAAAAGAAAACATTATGGAAAACTCAGCATTTTATATGCAAATAAAGTACATAGTTTTGAAAAATACGTGCTCTGAAACAGATGTAAAACATTTAAAATATCTGCTTGACATTCTCAATAAAATTCAAAAAAATATAGACACAGAAAATCAAGGCTAAAATTTACTCAAACATTTTTTAACATATATCCTATCTTAAGCCAAAAGGGATTGTCAGATGCTAGGAATAAAGCTGAGATTCAAACAAGAGGATTAAAGAAAGAGAATTTTGAGGTAGCAACTGAATTTCACTATACATGGGAAAGACAAGCAAGAGTAAGGAGGCATGGGTTTGAAAACCCAGCATGCCCTTGAGGGGACAGCCTCAAGGAAGAGAGCTAAACTGAACCATAATTATAATGCCTGAAGCCTTCAATTGTAGCTGTGGGAGAGAGAGTACTAAAACACATCACAAGCCCAAAGAAGCTGAAAAGTACCTTAAGGAGACTGAAGTATGTGTATGAAAGAAAAAAGTCACCTGGGAGAACTTAGAGCCTATGCCAGATATAGGTGCAGGGGTGAAATTCATATTGCCCACATGGTGGAAAAACTCCAGCATCAAACATTTATACAAAATCTGGTATCTAATCAAGGAAAGCCTTATTTATTCACCTCACAAAAGCAGATGTAAATGTCCCCTTAAAATATCTCTAAAAACTCAGGTCATACAAATACACCACAAAATATACACTAGAAAATCTTTTTTCTGTAAAGAGATAGTATTTTAGGCTTTGCCGATGATACAATTTCTGTCACAATTACTCACTTTCTGCCATTATAGTGCAAGAGCAACCATACACAATATGTGAACAGTTGAGCGTTATCTGCATTCCAATGAATTGTAACTTACAAAAATAGGCAATGGACCAGGTCTGGGTTTCAGGCCTTGCTTTGCAAACCTCTGACTTAGAGGGAAAGCAAAAGCAAAAACAAAAACACTCACAAAATTAAACCTCAAAGTGGAAAACTAACAAAGCATTAAAACAGAAGGGTCAGGAGAAAGAAAGAGATAATAAAAATGAGAAATGACAGCCAAAAAACTGGAGTCAGAGGACAATTAGAGAAAATGAAAATATTCAAGATAATTAAAGGCAGAAAAAAATTAGAAAGCTATGCTTAAAGAAGTAAAGGTAGATATAATGGCAATATCTGATCAAATTGAGAATATCAGTAAAAACATAAGAGATTTTTTAAAAAACTAATGAAAGTTAATGAGTAGAATAGTTCAATAACTAAAATAAGAAAATGCACTAGAGGGACTCAACAGTAGATTTGAACTGGTAGAAGAAGGAAATAATGGGTCAGTAGAAACCATGTTAAGTACAGAAAGAAAAAATAAAGGAGAAAAGTGAACAGAAACTCAGATAAATGTGGGAAACCATCAAGTACTCAAGCCTACGTGTAATGGCAGAGTGGAAAGGATAAGAAAGAGAATGAGTAGGTTACAATTTACTTGAAGAAATAATTCTGAAAACTTCCCTAATTTGATAAAAATGTTATCTACACATTCAAGAAGCTTAACTCTAATTATAATAAACATGAAGAAATTGACAGACACATAATAAAAACGATAAAAGCCAAGGACAAGTAAAAATCTTGAAAGCAGCGAGAGAAAATAGGACTCCTCACTTACAAAGAAGGCCAAGAAATGTAACAAATGACCTTTGTAATCAGGAGAAATGGAAGCCAGTCGGCAGTACAAGAATATATTTACAGTTGTCAAAGAAAAACTGTCAACCCCAAACTTCCTACTCAGCAAAGATACATTCAAAAAATTTTAAGTTAAATAAAGACATCCACATATAAAGAAAAATTAACAGAGTTTGTTGCTAGCAGATTCACACTGTAAGGAAGACAACAGGGAGTTCATCAGTGGGAAACCACATGATCCCAAATAGTAACTCAACTCCACGCAATACAATAATGAGTACTGGTAACAGTAATGGTGTCATTACAAAAGACTGTGAAAGGATATACTTTGTCTCCTCTCTTCTGATTTCAAATTGTTAAATTATATTTTAAAAGACATAAATAATGATATTGTTGGGTTTATAACATAAAACGTGGTATATTCCCCAATAATAACACAAAGGAAGTGGGGAGGACAAAATCTATATTGGGCTATGGATATGACATGGTATTAGCAGATGGTAACTTGAATGTACAGGAAGAACACTAGAAGTAGTAAATATAAAAAGTAATGTAATAAAAGCTACAAATATATACTTGTCCTCCTTTCTCTCATATTCTTTTAAGACAAAATTTTATAAAGTATTACCTGTAAAAATTTATTGGTGGGTTTGGAACATATATAGATGTAATATGTATAACAATTCAACAAAAAGAAGAGAAAAAGAATAGACCTATATCACCAATATTATATTGTCTAACCAAAATTACATTACAACGAACTGGAATCAAATGTTAACAAGTAGAGCAGTGTATGGCAAACACTGGAGCAACTACTCAGGAAATAAAAGTACAGTGAAAAAATGCCTTCAATAAGTTTAAACATTAAATTATAAAATAGTCACTTACCAATAAATAAATAAATAATAAATAAGAAGTAGAGGAACAAAAACATCATGAGACATATAGGGAAAAAACTATAGTAACACACCTAAATCCAATTATATCATAATAACAATAAATGTGAATGTAGTAAACACCTCAACCAAAAGAACTGACAGACTGGATAAGAAACAAAGATCCAAGTGTGTATTGTATATAGGAGACACACCTAAAGATACAAAGATTGAAAGTGAGTGAATGAAAACAGATATACAAAGAGCAATCATTAGTAAGTTGGAGTAGCTTTACAATTTTCAGATAAATAAACTTTTTAAAATTTTTTATGAGAGATGAAGAGGGACATTTTATTACAGTAAATGACAATCCATGAAGAACATATAAAAAATGAAAATTTACATGCTCCTAATAGCATATCCCCAAAATTCATGATGAAAACCTGACAGAAATTAAAATATAAATATACAATTCCTCAATAATATTTGGAAGCTTTAATACCTTCAATAATGAACAGAAGAACTAGAGGGATGATCAGGAGGAAAGAGAAGACCTGAACAACACTATAAGTCAACTAAACCAAACTAACACAAAGAGAATAATCCACACAACAGCAGGAAAATGTGCTTCTTCTCAAGTAAACCTAATACATCCTCCATGATAGACTATAAACTAGATCATAAAACAAATCTTAATAA